TAGCAAGGACTGAGGAATAGGCACTATCTCTAACCAACATCTGCGAGATTTGAATGGTCCCACTGGTTTGGTATCCAGTGCTTGCTTGGGCCTGGTGGCGCCGTACCACAGGCAAAACTCTCAGCACTGTGCAAAGAGGTGGCGATATCGTCCCAGTATGAATTCACAACTGACGGTGGAGCAGTTGAAAGAGACTCTAGAAGTCGGTTCTAGGAAATTTGTCCAACATCCGGATCTGTCAGTCTTTCTTGCCCAACGATTTGTCCCCACTTTACGCGGCCGTAGAAAACGGTAGGTGGAGCGACTCTGGATGAGCGCGTGGTCGGAATCCGTAAATGTGTTCCAAAACGATTGACAGACAGTTATTGATTCACGCCGTCGGTAACTGATGGCAATGTGATCAATTTAAGTTCGCAGCCGGCACGCCGTTGGAGAACACCATGTGGCCAGACGACTTCGGCTATTTCGGAACTTAATACTACGTAAAAGCAATCTGCAGTCAGCACATAGATGAAGCGATCGTACGTACCTAGTCCAATTCATGTTGATCACCCTGTTGAGTCTCAGATTCGTTAATCCTGTCCACTTGTGCATTCATTTCCCCGGCAACCACAACATTATCTGAGCTTTTATCTCACCGCAACAGGTCATTCAGGGTGCCAGATTTACAGTCGATTTGGTCATCAGTAGACACGACAAACACGTCGATCAACATCCTGCTTGCGAGACTGCTTCACTGACGTTGCCAGACAAACAGAACAGAAGCGACTATCAACAGGGATCCTCCAGTCAAGCAGGGATACTTCCGCCCATCGACTTAGGATGATACCAACCCCTATGCATCCCACCGCAGCGGCCTCTGGATCACCAGAGGTGCCTATCAGGAAGCGAGTGAACAATGATGGGGTGGTTAGCTCAACCACTGCTTGCTTCTTGAATTATTGTTTCTGAGACACATCACACATCAATTAGAAAAAAGCCCAGTGTGAGATTCGTTAATCCTGTCCACTTGTGCATTCATTTCCCCGGCAACCACAACATTATCTGAGCTTTTATCTCACCGCAACAGGTCATTCAGGGTGCCAGATTTACAGTCGATTTGGTCATCAGTAGACACGACAAACACGTCGATCAACATCCTGCTTGCGAGACTGCTTCACTGACGTTGCCAGACAAACAGAACAGAAGCGACTATCAACAGGGATCCTCCAGTCAAGCAGGGATACTTCCGCCCATCGACTTAGGATGATACCAACCCCTATGCATCCCACCGCAGCGGCCTCTGGATCACCAGAGGTGCCTATCAGGAAGCGAGTGAACAATGATGGGGTGGTTAGCTCAACCACTGCTTGCTTCTTGAATTATTGTTTCTGAGACACATCACACATCAATTAGAAAAAAGCCCAGTGTGAGAGCAGAAAGAAAGAAAGCGTTCAGCTGTAGCACCCTTTCGGTGCCTAGCTGCCATGCCACCCGAAGGAAGCACGAGGGCTGGGATACTGCCAGGTTGCCCAAGCCTAGACAGGGGAAGTCGAGTGGCGGAGGTCGGATTCGAACCACGAACCTTCCGGTCAGTAAATTCGCGCTCTAACCACTCGGGCCATCTCGCCCCATTCGCTAAGGAAGTGAACGGGGGCACAAGAAAGAGATGAAAATTGCCTTGTGGAATATGCATATCGAATTAAGTGGATGAAGACAAGTAGTCCAGGCAAAAGCACAAGGAAAGCTTGCAAGGGTCATCCGAATTACGCTGTGAAAGAATGGTAGTCATTTACAATGAAGCTATCTGTGTTGATCGGAATGAAGGCCGGAGGCCATTTGTGATTTAGAGGGTTAGGCCAACCCCTTGCAGCCAAGCAAGACAGACTATTGGATCATTGTCTCCGGGATGGGTTCCCCAAGAAACCCTGAACAACCACTGCCTCACGGGTCGCACTTTTGAGTCAGAGGCTAGGGGCAGGATCGCCAAACACAACCACACATTCCCCCCCCCCTTGTGGGTCAGACTTTTGAATCAAAGGCTCAATGTGGAGTACCTCAACCAAACCCCTTTCTTGGGCACAGGCAACCGGGAAGTATCATTCACCCTTGCAGCCCTGCTGACTGGCCTTCCCCCACACCCTTTCCCCACATGTCGAAGGATACAGTGCCACCAACCCATCTGCTAATCCCCTAGCCACTGTTACATGTCAAAACCGTCTCTCAGGAAATTAAACCAAGATAATCACCTACTGAGTTAAAAAGATTTGATCGACATTGCAACCTTTAATATCCATACTCTGTCGAATCGGGCAGAAGACGTCTCCTGCTGGAACCTTCCCTTCCCTATTTGTCCATGTATGTTGTGTTTCCGGAACATGCATGCAAGACCCCACTTTGGTCGTGCACATCAAGCCGCTTAGGACGAACTCAGATGTTCCACATTTCACTCTTCGGCTATCCGGTAGTCCTGGCTGAGACGTTTAGAATGTGTCCTAGAGCGAGGTAGAACAGAGTCCGGGTTTTCGAGGTTAAACAACGTTTTGCTTGTCCGAGGACAAGCGTTGGTGGGCTGAAATGTACATACAAGGGTTCGATACGTGTATAGAGAGTAAGTATAATAACATGCTTACAAAAATCATGACACTTACGCAATGGTAGTGGTACATACGACGTGGAAGTTGCACTCAGCCCCAAGGCTGGACTGGATCCAATGAAACAGTCTGCGCTGTGCGGTTGTATGGTTCAATTAAGATCAATGCAGGTCAATGCGGTAAACGGTGTTCATTTATCTTATCGGCATACGCCTCAACAGACGATGGTTCTGACACTGAGAAGGGTGGGTTTTATCAAGATCTGTGACGAATACTTCGGCCAGCAAGAAGGACGGATATTGTAATCCCAGCGGGTGATATGAATGCATAAGTTAAATGAATAAGTCCGGAGGAAGCGCAATTGGGTGGTAGATTTGTAGTCGATGCAGTGCGTACGGATAACGGGGAGTGACTGCTTCAGTTAGCGCAGATCTGTCCCTAGCCAGTACAAACGTCCAACACAAACGCTCGCATCAAACTACCTGGAGGCCGCCAACTACAAGACAGTCGTGGAGGAGGCGTGACATCAGCTTGTCGGTCAAAGATCGAGTTTAAAATACTACGCTGCGCTCCATATCGTTATACGGGTCAGAAACCTGGTCGCTACGCGCAGAGGACCTCTTCGATGCATTGCTCGCGTCTAGTGGGAACACCGTCTCAGTAGTGCTGAAGTAGTCCGGGTAATTTTCGGAAGGAATCATTCACCGCGATAAGTGAACTAATCACACTCCTTAGGTTGCACTGGCATGCTCCGTATGCCAGTTGACCAGCTTCCTCGAAAAGCGTTTTTCGTGCAATTACATGAAGGTGAAAGTTGGTCAGGGTAACCAATTATGAAAGCCATTACCAGAAAACTCAGTTGCGCTGGCCATTGCGATCTCTCTGGATGGTGACTCGGAGACAAGAGGTATCAATGGTTAGAGACATTATCGGACATGCCCCAGTGGTGCCCTCAATGGGCACAAGCTATTGCTTTCAATTCATAGCTTTCCACTCAGTCTCCCCAATTAAAAAGCCACGGATACCCCTGTATTTACGCAGCACTCACATCAGCCACCTCCTCCAATGCGCATATATCTATCCCACCTCCCCAAATTATCGCTGAACGAATAAGACCAATGTACAGCAAGTGCACGGTTCTCACTGCTGGTGATAATGATCTTTCATCAGAGGACATTCTTCAGTCTCCATGTAGGGAAGCAAAAGATTATGTTAGTTGTTGAGATTTTGTCATGTCTGTGCCTGTCTATGCTGGGTAGCCGATAAGCACTGTACAATTGTTTCTGGAACTCACTGAAAATCAGCAGTGCGTATCTTATGAGACTACTGAGAGCTTCTGAACCCGCGATCCCCCGACTAGTAGTTTGAGTACTTAACCGTTTGGCCACGGATGGCTCATCACTAGTGTGATTAACTCGCACTTAGAATCGAACGCCACTCATCCTCAAATCACGGAATCCTTATCATGTGGTCACCTGTTGATTAGCTGTCCAAATGGTGACTACCAAGTGGATGTTTCACTCGCCTTGTGGAGTCATTCTTCCTTCTGGCCTATCAGCAGTCTATAAGTGGCTCAGAAGGGAGAATACTTGACACGGCTGAAACTTCCATGTGAAAACTCGACATTTTGGAAGCTAGTTCCCGTGACCAATTGGTGTGGATTTGGTGAAGGATGAGCCTTGTTGTATTGTGCCCAAGTGCTAGTTAATCCCACTGCTGATCGGCTGCTCGTGGCCGAACAGTTGAGTGTTCAAACTACTAATCGGATGGTCACGGGTTTTAAAATTCCTATAGTTTTGTGTGATGCACACTGCTGATAATTTCTGTATAGTGCTTCTCGGGATTGCTGTTGGTTTGTTCGCCTAACTTGGCAGTTGGATTGCAAATGTTCCATCACGAACTAAGGTGACGTCATCAGCGTATTAACGATTTCACCTCAACTGGTGATGAACTTTTGTAATCCAACTGCCAAACTCGGCGAACAGACCAAAGACCAAGCAGCGCACCCGAGCTGCCTATAGTATGCAACACAGTCAGCCTCTCGGCTTTTCATCGTAGACTGATCACATTTTCAGGATGAAATTTCTGTTGAAATTTCCAAACTTTTACACTACAAACAAAATGGTTTCTATCTCTGTACCGTGGTTTTATCCTTTCAACTCCTAATGGAGAAAATTTACGAGTGTTCGATATCTATTCGTATTCGCCACATTGATAAACCACGTCTCCGGCAGGAATGATGGAATTTGTTTCATCTTGGAATTCAACAGTTGTCTTATTTGTTTGAACGCTGTGGAGGGTACCAGGGTCAAGCTTTCAGTGGTTGGTGCATGGCTTGTACTAATCTTCTCTTGCTTTGCACTAAACTTTCAAATTCTTGTTTCATGCTTTGCGCTTCTCTTCCTTCATTTCAGTTGGCTGGATGGTCTTCAGCCCAGATGCAAATTTATCGGCTCAGACTCACCACTTTAGCATTTTGCAGACTTCTGCGTTGGGATGATATAGCAACGTGCTAGAAGCTTCTCACCACAGTGCCAACAGGGTCCCTTTTCAGCAATGGAGACTTGTTTATTTGCAGCTAATTTCTGGGGCGAGAAGCATGCTGGGTTTGATATTTTATACCAAAATTTGAAATTGGATACTCGTTCAACGAGCGACTTGGTGGATTTTTTACGGGAAAGTGGCGCGGCAGAGGATGCCTACTCAAAGTCATTGTGGAAGCTTTCAAAACAGACTGCCTCCAGCATCACAGCCAACGCCTTTAGGCCATGCTGGTCACTTGTCCACCGGCTGACAGAGTCTATGGCCCAGTTACATCAGTCACTTGCTCAATCGCAGTTGTTGTTAATGAAGGATGTTCAAAAATATCTAGAGGAGCAGCAGAAGCGGCATAAGTCGTTGCGGGAAAGTGAGGCATCCACACAAGAAGTCGTTCACGCATTCCAGGTTGGTTCCATGGTTTCATTTCTGGATGTCCTGTTTTTTCGCCTTCATGTCCACCGATGTTATCCAGGTGTTCTGGATGTTGGTTCACTGTTGATCTAGAGCGCGGAATTATTCAGACTTTTCGGGCGTAGTTGATTTACGTTCGAATTTATTGTATGTAGAGTTCATGTCCACGTTGCCATCGTCTGAACAATTCCTTCTCATTATGACGCTACAGCTTCTGCCTATACATATCAAGAGAGTGAAGTCCTCACTAGCAGTGCCTATTTTCGACTGAACTCATTAGTGTTCGGGGTTTTATGATCCAGTGCACGTGGTTCAGGTTTTCAGTTCATTCTAGGTAGGTTGGTAGGTTGGTTAACTAAAAGACTAGCTCAGTGGTTAAGCCGCGAAATTAATGACCGGAAGTTTCGTGGTTCAAACCCAACCTCTGCATCTTGACTGCCCTAACCTAGGTTTGGGCAACCTAGCAGTACCTCAGCCCTCGTGCTTCCTTCCGGTGGCATGGCAGCTAGACACCCAGAATGTGTTACGACGCCAACTAACTACCGCCGTCTCAGGACTCGTTTGTTTTGGTGTTCGAATGACTGTGTAGACCAAACCAATTAGGTTATACTTCTATGTGTGCACTACTTGTCTGGCGAGCTACATTGTGGCACCTCTTCGGCTGACTCTGTGAGACGTTTTCTTCCAAGACCCATGGATTTTTAATACAAGTGGGACTATTTGACACTTTGAGTACTTTGTAAACAGATAGTTGATTGGAACAGCCAAATTACTTACTAGACCGACTTCCATCAAATCAGTCGTCTATCCTCAGTTTGTGAACTACAAATCGTACATACTGGTTTGTCATTTCTTTCTTCACTCATTGTGTTATCGATGCTCATAGACGAAGGGAGCAGACGCTCATTGGAGGGAGTGGCTTGCACCATATTAGTGTGGGCATGCTACCACTGAATACATCCGTATTTTCAGGCACTAACTTCTCCAAATGGTGGGTGGTTGATTTCATTACCATCATCACCAGAGATGTTGATGATTCACCACAAAGTTATTCAATCATATTTAAAACCCTTCGCCGGACACTTCGCCAGAGCCGATATAATTACCAAAGTAGATAAAATTCCCCACATCCTCTGGTATTTCCTGTGGGACTACTGGAGGCATGTTCAGGGACTGCATGCTAGGAAGCATGACTACACTCTAGATGATAGGATGGCGTACCGAAAGATGATATGACAATGATCGGTTAGTTTAACGGCACCTGTGCTTTGTCCTCGTCTTCAAAGATTGGAACAGTACCGTCCGCCTCTGACATTTGGCGAAGCTTCAAAAAATATGGCCGTTTCAGCTTATAACTGATCGAAATTTCGATCGCCGAATATTTCCAACACTTTGGCATCTTCAATTTCTTCGGTCTTCTTGTTCCACCAAGCTTTCCGGTCTGTCGGACAGTAATTTTTACCACGCGTCGAAATTTGCTTGGAGTTGAATCGTGGTTTCGATCGGAGGGGATCTGTTGTCTGGCATCCAGGAACGCAATGGTCATATCAGGAATCCAACGTTTGGAAGAATTTGGCTGGTTTCTGGCGCGGATGGTAGTCCCGGCACTTAAGTATAGCTCTGAGTATTCGGCTTTACTAATTTTTGACATCCGACCTCAGGTCAGCAGATGGGTGTTGGAGGAGTCGGTTTGGATATATCTGTTTGACTTCCGATTCCATCACGTTCTCAATCGCCAATCGAAATGTGCGCGTTCTCTGCAAGCCTGGAAAGCATGATGAAGGGCAACAGGGTAGTCCACACAGGTATTACAGGCACTGATTGATCCTCGCCACCTGTAACTAGTGGCAATGTGGTCTCTTTGAGTTCGATACTGGTTCGTTGGTTGGCCCCACCTGGTCAAGCGGTTTCTGCTGTCCCAGAAGTTTTTATCGCATAAACAGTCTGTGGTCATCACAGGCTTCCAGTGAGCGCTCTCCTATGTCCGTATGTTTCATGTTTAATTCAAGACAAGGGTAATCAGTAATCGTTAAGCTGTAACACCCTTTCAGTGCCTAGCTGCCATGCCATCCGAAGGAAACACGAGGGCTTGGATACTGCCAGGTTGCCTAAGCCTAGACAGGGAAAGTCGAGAGGTGGAGGTCTTGTTCGAAGACGGAATACGTAAGGATGTAATATGGAAAGGGGATGTATTCACCGTCTTCCCCGGTTCCTCTGAGTGCGTAACCAGAGTTTGCTGCACATAACCAGTTTGTTTTGATTGCATGTCTGTCAACGATATCGCAGCTGGTTGGATTGGTAACTGATTAAAAAGATAAGATAATCGTTCAACTGTTGCGCCTAGCCGTAATGCTGTCCCTCGCTGATGGCACACCATATAACCCGAAGGAAGCACGAGGTCGTGGATATTGCCAGGTTTCTCAAGGTTAGACAAGAGAAGTTGAGATGCAGAGGTCAGGTTCGGACCACGGGCCTTCCTGTCAGTAAATTCACACTCTAGCCTTTGAGAAACATTTCCGAAGTGATTTGAGCTGTCGTTTTGGTTTATTATCTACAGTATTTTTGCGCTTTGTATGTTCATAGTGAGCAAACATTGTTAGTTATGTCACAGCTTCTCATTTTCAATTTAACCGGATTGTCAGGTAGTGCCTCTGGGTTTTTGTCGAGAAATATTATGAAGGTCTCGAAATAATGGAGTAGATTTGTCGCACAAACAACGGCCCGTTTCAGAGATGGTGGATTGTGTACATAACACAGCAACTGTTTTGGGGGTTTTCGAACATCCAGTGAGTAGAGCAGTAATGTTTTCTATCTACGGCATATTTACTGGTAGGCTGCACTCTCAAAGGCCAGTAGGCGTTCCAGTTGCAACCAAGTGACATCAACAGAATAGTTTCTGTCAAATCATCCGGTATTCTCTTCCACCGTGATGCTTGTTTCTACATAGCTGTGTCGGTCAGGCTCATCCGATCTGGTTACTTTGATAATCTGTACGGTTTTCCCCATCTGGCCTGTTGATGCACACATGCGCTCCTCTCTGGTTGTGTAAACACGTATCAGATCTACTCACCGACAGTCTTCCCCTTGTTTATCTGACTCAAGTCCCCTGCCTTGTGTACAAAATTGCTCTAATGTAACTATCTCTGAAACTTAACGTATGGCCTATGCTTCAGCATATTCGCATAACAACAGACAGGACTATTTTTGGCCTCGACAGATAGGCTTCCTCACTTCCTGGTTTTGTTAGGATCTTCCGGAAGGCTCGGCTTACAGCAAAGTTCTTTCTGAGGCGCGTCTGCTCGGAGTTCCTTGTGTTGTGTGGGCGTCGTATTTCTGTTCCCCGAATAACTCTTCAATTTCGTAATCATTTTGATCGCAACCATTTCTGATTATAACAGTCAACTGTCCCTCTTAGTTTGGTTGAGAGAATGGAGCACAATCTCGATTGGAGTTTGGGGCACTGGACTGTCTTGATCGTATCTTGAATGATCTGTGATATGGTAGTCTATTGGGATGATATGCAGATCGCGTAGTTGGTCGGTTTACTAAACTAACCGATCGAGTCATGTTTCGTAGGGTGTTTTTTCAATGACTTTCCTGCTCACTTATTAGAACGATCCCATTCTACGTCTCACTATCACAAGTCACCCAATTTCACGCAGATAGTTGCATCCTTTAGTTCCATCATGCTTCTCCTTTACTCCGTCCTCTACCTCTCTTCTCTATACTCCATCCTGCCGTTGACAGGTTTCAGCGGTACAATGGCAACGGGCCAAAGAAGTGTACAATTCTAGGTTGGCTGAATACCAGCGTGTCACGCGGAATGAATCTGTCTCCTCTCGAGAACAAGAGAAGGCTGAAACCAAGCTTAAAAAGGCCCTCGATGAGTATCGATACTCTGTGGAGAAATATAACAATTTGCGGACACAGTTTGTGAACAAAATGCACTCATCCTGTGCACAATTTCAGGTCAGTTTTTTTGAAAGGAGAATCATGATGTCATACGAATGTTGGCCGCAAGAATGCTTATTGGAGTTACCTATTGAGGATATGGTCTTTACAATATCGGCCCTGAATCCTGAAACTTTCGTAATTTTCTGTATTCTCTATGAATTTTGCCGTTATATTATCACCTTGATTCTACTTCCTCGTTATCATCTTTATACCACCGAGGACGCCACTTCAGCATCACCACTCGGCTGGCATGAGACAAAACCTCTGGACAAACCGCATTGTTGAATCGCAGTCTGTGAAGCTAGAAAACCTTATTGACTCTCTGCTCTGCCCTCATAAGTGCCAGTTACATGAATCGATAGTCATGGTTTGTTCCTAAGCGTCGAGTCGTGCACACTAATCGATGTGGTGCTGATTGTGACCAGTATACTCAAGCTGTCTACTTGGCGAATCTGGCTGTCTTTTCACACAAAATTTAAAGTGTTTTATGCAGGCATGCTTGTTTTATGTTATCGGCCGACTCGGCTGGTGAGATTCAGGTTAGGTTCATTTATGAGGCTAATATCCGAGTACCAAGGATACGATGCTTACAGCTGTTCTAATTTACGGTGACAGGCTCATGTGGCAGAGTGAGTTTGTTGCTACAGTTTCGCCCAGCAATTGTACGGAGAATAAGGAGACAACCGCACATAGAAGGCGATGGCCTAACTGGTTCATTAACGTAGGTCTGTCGTAGTCTCCAGTTCAAATGGAGTTTGCGACAGTTATGCACCACGCATGATACATTTAGTGCAGGCGCACTAGTGGGTTTGTGATAAGTCCGTGTCTGTCAGTTACACTGGCTGCCACCGTGCCCCCTTTCCTGTTTCCCGACAGTTAACAACCCAACCTCACTAATTAGTCCGAGATTGAGACTTTTATCCCTAACCTGAAACGTAGTGATGCAGCACTAGTGTCTGCTGTCTCAGAGCTATATACCATAATTCCCTTATTTCAAAATTTTCGTCAGTACCGATTGGTTTAGTCCCGCAATTAGGTGCTTTTGCGATTGCTGTTCTTGGCGATTAAGATGGTCAACCCAGCTGCTGGTCTCGTGGCTGCTCCTGTTTGTTGTTTGTGGAGACTGACTGGTTAATGAATTGGCTTCCGACAGATTTTGCTATGACTTACTTTCCATACGGTCTTTTGCCAAAGCTTTATCCTGTTTTCTTACCGGTGATTGACGTTTATTACCATTTCAGGAAGTGGAAGCATCACACTTGGACCACATGCGCGAATTCCTGCATCGTTATCACGCGATCTTAGCGCCATGTGGATCAACACTGCATGAATTCTTCAGTCAGTTCAGAAACAACTTGGATGGGGTGACGACTGAAGAGCTGTTGCAAACATTTGTCAAGGAAAGAGGAACCGGCTCGGACGAGCCACAGTGCGTTGCACTGGAAGACGTGGAAGTTGCTTCCGCATTTTCTGCGGCAAGTGCCGATCGTGTTTCTGCCTCTCCAGCAAACAGCATTGGTACACGAGCTCTGGAAGCCTTTTTCGGCCGAGAACCACGAGCAGCTTCTGCACTAGCGGGTATGTACTCTTTAGTCGTGTGTTCGTTATTTGGTGCTAGCGGTTTCCATTAGTCCCTCATCAACTTGCCGGCCAACTTACGTATCCACTTGCGATTGTGCTGGTATCCGCGTTTGTCGTCGCAACGTCCGTTCTGGTACAGATTCAGCACCCTATTAATTATGGTCATATGCGTAGGCAAGCTGTAGTTACCGTTCTCACCCCAACTCTGTCACTTTTTTCCCTAAAAGTCAGTTACACAAAGATGCTTTTTCGTAGAGTTATACTCACACTACCGATCGGGTCGTTGAGCACGGTCTATTTCCCAACCGCTCTAATCGGAAACCTGTTTTCACTATACCAGAGTTAGCGTACTACAATGTTGATTGCTCATGGACCCAGCTTGAGCCTGAATTGAATGCCTGAGTTAGAACATCTCGTCTTTCACACGGGCCCTGGTACTGCAATATGCGTTCGAAAGTAATCTATTAACTATCTTCTTGATTATTTCGTTCCCACACTACTATTGTACGTTGGGAATGTGAATTTTCAACTGCTTTCGTCTTCGTTTTCTCTGGGATCCATTGGCCTCATCACTTAGAGCAGGCTTTGATAAAATTGAGTCACATTTGTAGTATAAGTTGATTAAATTGAGCACAGCAACCTTCTCTGTCGGATATGACAATTCGTGACGCTTGGATAACTTTGTCATCGACTTATTCATCAGGTACGTTAGTGTCTCTTGCGGCCTACGTTAAAACGGATGCATTGAATTGTTTCGGCCCCATTTTCTCCCGTCAACGACGAATTCCCCGTCATCTTCTTTCTCACTACAGCATAGATAGCATATGGGGGCGAGATGGCCCAAGTAGTTAGAGCGCGAATTTAATGACCGGAAGGTCCGTGGTTCGAACCCCACCTCTGCCTCTCGACTTCCCCTGTCTAGGCTTGGGCAACCTGGCAGTATCCCAGCCCTCATGCAACCTTCGCGTGGCATGGCAGCTCCGCACCGAAAGAGTGCTACAGCTGAAAGATCGACATCTAGGCACCCGCTGTGAAAACCTGAAGCCACTCAACATGTCCAGACAGCGTATGCATCATCTTTCGAATCGTCTGTTCTCTAGATCACTCCACTGAGTCCTTGACCTCTGTCTCACGTCTTTCGAACAGCACCTTTTTTAAAGACGACTTAATCATCTAGTTTTCCTTGACACTCTGGCGGCCCGATTGCTTGTTGGAACGCTGCTGTTGGAACACTCGACTTCTGAGTGATCCTTTCGTTTCAGTTGACATTTGTCAACCCATACAAACCTGTGCATCAGACGTTTACCATTATTGTAACAACGTCAATCGGAGGAACCAGATTGTTTTTGCTCACTCAAATACCGATGTGGGTTGATGGGGAAGTTGTGTACAACACAGGAGCCATAAATCACCTCTCCTGCACCGTCATTTAGCGGTTCGAAACATGTTCAAGCCACATAGTAAGCCTACTGTGGTGACACTCCCCCAGCGGGTGCTTAGCCGTATGTGGTGTTTCCTCCGTTTACCAGCCATTCCATACCCACAATTTTCACCCTTCAACGGTGAGTACTTTCCGCCATTCTTCAGCCCTCTTCCCCTCTCCGTTCATGCGCCATGGTGAGCCATCTAAATGTTGTTTATTACAGTACCACCGCCGCTGTTGCCACTCAAGATGAACTTTTTAGTTGATCAGAGTGTAGTCCTACCTGGTTCCAATCAGGACTTACTCAGCGGCATTATGCCGGAGGGGCAATCAGGACGATGGAATTGCGAGCTAATTGACCTGAGTAAGTTTGCAGCCTTAGCTGCCTAACCGAGTTCATCGTGTTCATGAATCAATTCAGCTACGGCAGCATGGTGGGTCGGGGACGTGTGCTTCTTTCCGTAGGGTTTGAAAGGTTCAAACTCGGGTGTCAAATATCCGTTGTCCAACTCTTTGGTTTAGAGATGTGGCAGTACTTTGGCCACCATGCTTCTAGCGACTCCGTCCAAAGGGATTTTGCTGATGAATGGTCTAAAGTAAGAACGCGGTAGGATCCCATCTGAGGTTTAATTTCGGTTCGATTCCGCCATTTGTTGGATCGCTTCATCATAATGCTTGACCAGGTTGGTGTGGAACATCCCTTTCTTGAAAAGCACAACACAATAAGGAGGAAGGGGCGTACCGCCAACATACACTTCGAACACCCACCCTGGCAAGACGTATGGAGACTGCCAGTATGAATTTATTTGACAGCTATCGGTAGCCGTTTTTTTTAGCATCAAATAAGCACAAGGAGGTTCACGTAAGCCCCATCCTGGATGGTGGATCGACAATACCCGGACACCCTCGAGCCGTGAGATTTCAGACGCTTAGACCTCCCGGTTCTGTGCGAATTCAAGGGGTTTGCAACCGTTACTGTATAGCACACCTTTAGTCTCGTTCTCTGTCTCTCCAAACAAGTGTATCTAGTTCGTCCTGGTGACCCTGTAAATCAACGACCCCAAATATTTGATATCGGGTTGTGTCCTTGGAGTAGCGTTCATACTTGTGATCGAAAAAGTGCCAAGCGTTTGGGGAATTAAGCTCCTACGATGACATTTCAGTTGTTGTTTTCTAGACTGAAAGCAACTACAAAGTATGTTCTCAATGAACGGGCACATTTGTCGTTCTTAGGTGGTCATTGTGTGGCAAGTTGGATTAGCGCTGCTTAAGACTGTGGATCATTTCACCAGCCGCACACAATTCTCATTGTTTGTTTCCGATTCGCAAATAATCCGGTTCCGTGATATTTAAGGTCTCAGTAGCCCAAGCACTTCGGTATGAAGCAGATTTGGCGCCTATGGTGGTCAATTTTTTATTCCATCAACACGTCGTGAAAGTGGCAGAGATCGGGCTCATCGGCGTCATTGGTGCCCCAATGTTAACACTGTCAAGCAGTGCCCGGTGCATGATACACTCTGCCTCCAAGTCGAATAGACAACACCCCTACCAAACTCTTTTTTCCACGCTTTGTTCTGAAAACTCTTCACCGTAGGCACGAATGCGTTCCTTGGCTTCAGCGTATCACAACCAGACTAGGTTGACTAGGTTAGTCCGGACTCCATCGGCCAGCTCAGTTTCCCTATCTACAGGTTTTGATAAGCTGTTGGTATTTGAAACGATGTTCGAGAAAGCGTCGCAAGATAAAGATTTGTTCAACACAACCTCTTCTTGGATTGAGTCCCCCTTGATTTGATCTGGTGCGAAGATTTATTTAAAAGTGCTTTAGGAGAAGGGCAGTGAAAACTTTTCCTACGATGTCCGTGAGACTTATGCCGCCTCAGTTTTATCATCTTCCTTCGAAATAGTCATCAGAGTAGATGTGCAATCCTTTGGGCGTTTCAGTTCCCCTTGTATTCCACAGAGGAATTTGTGAATTGGGCCGCTAATTGATGTTTTACCCGTTTTCCAGACTTCTGGTTTGGTACTATCGTCGTCATTTCAACTCCGAGGTGCGTATCCATTGTGGTTGCCATCTGCGGAGCTGGGTGTTCGTGAAGTTCAGTAGATTACTATACTGCAACTTAGTATCTGAAGTCTAAATCGCTTCGTTTGAGCTGTAAGGTGGGACACTGTCACAACCCGGATACAGCTGAAGAACATTCACTCTTTGAGCTTAGGTTTCCTCCCTATGCTATTGCGGCCGGATCTGGCGGACTGTCTTCTCAGGTCCCGATATCTTGGTGAGCAGCAAATGTCTCGTGAGACTCGTGAAACGGTCACTGTTGACTCATGCCAAGGATGTGGAGGCAGCGGATCCAATGTGGACATTCTAGTATCAGTTAGCAATGGGAATATCCCCGTAGAGGACTTACCAACACCATCGTGCGGTTGTTCGTTGGGCTCGCATCTGGATTCGGAGTCTTTAAACAGCCTTGCAACATAGGCTTCAGTCACAGTCAGGTCTCATGAGTGATCCCTGAGGTGTTCCGGATAGCGTAGATGTCCGTAAAACGAGGGTTTGGTCCGCCTGTTCGACTACGCCAAAGGCGTCTTCACTGCGTCCACCGTGACAGCCACTTTGCAGCATTTGTACCTGAAACACCTCAAACCACCATTGTGTATTTTTATTTCAGACAGCGAGTCTGTGTCGACCACTTAGACCGCACTTTTTGTCATGCCAACAGCCAAAGTCCTCAAGGGTATTCGTAATGCACTATTTATAAGGTAGGTGAAAATTCTTCGACAGCCCACGATCGGTTTCGCCCTTCTTGGGGCTTATCAGGTAGGCGCAGTCACTGAATTTCCGTCAACCTTATGTTCTACTTAAGATCAACCTGCGCGAAATTAGCGAAATACACTCATTTGCAAACGAATTCGTTTTTGTGAGAGACTCACCTGGAAACCAGCTGAATCCCCCGTTTGTGATGTTCGTAGGCAACTGAATGTGCTGCCCCTCACGACATTCGAGATATCGCGAAACATCACAAATGAGAGATTCGGCTGTGTTTCAGGTGAGTCTCTCGCAAAACCAAATTTGTTTGCAAATGTGCGTATTCCTTAAGGATGTTTTTTTCTGAACCACCTAGTTGAAATTGTTGAGCCGACAATGTCCGCAGTTTGTACATCACCAATTTCTGGATTGACACAGAACGAACCACCGTGCGGTGTCACCTTACCATCCAGAGCATCGCGGCTATAATATATATGATACTTTACGTAGAGTAACAAGGGATTTTTTGTGTAAGTTAGGTATCCTGAGGCAGTCGGAAGCTGTAAGGTAGTCCATCGCATCACGCTTCCATACGGGGCCCTCTGCTCGTACCAGTCGTGCAGGAACGCTTGTCTTTGGGAACTCCATTGATCTAGTGCCATAACCCACTCAACACTTATAATCATCGGCAATGTACCAGTCAGGCTGTCCAATCGTGGCCCATCTTTTCTCACACTTGCTTTATGAATTTACTCAGTTTGCATTTTGCTACTTTCTTGTGCTTGAATGTGTTTTGTTTGTCATTTTTGAGGAACTCGCTGTCACTCACACCATCGCAACAACCAGCCGCTCTAACTGCTCACAATCTGCAAGTTGAAACGATCATTCGAAAAATTTCAAATCCAGAATTTGGAACCATGTGACATCGGTTTTTCTTTCTGATTTAACCTATTTCCTTCACTTTGTTTCTGTGATAGGTCAATTTGCTTGCAAGTAGCGCTTCACGAAGATTCGACAAGTGATGTTAGTGAGACAGTTTGGTTCTCATCGCCTTACTTTTTAGCTCGTAAGAGGTTTTGCACTTCTGCCATCTGGCATTTGACAGATTTAACTGCAGGACATGTGTACGTTCTTTGGAGCGATCCGTTGTGCTGGATTCCTGTTGATCCCGCTTCTGCGTGCATCAGTATGTCATGATGGGCGAGAGACCGGTACTCGACCCCTGAACATGTTGCTTGGATAAAGTGTTCATCGGTCCCAGCAGTGTTCATACTTTGTCGCCGATCAAGATTTCAGTCTATCCGTCCCTCTGTTACCCATTTTAATCCCCACATGACTGCACTACCCAAATTTATGACGCTTCGCTGTTCTCTCGTGTTCACTGTGTGTGGTCGACTGATGCTCGTACAACTGATATACCTTGGCGCTAGTGCCATTTACGTCCTCTTGGATCGCCATTGTTCAACTTCTCTCTATCCGACCTAAAGCTGCCACCTTGACGTGGGAAGGACGGGAAAGGTCGGCCCCAAAAACCGCACACTCCGATCGCCCAACGGTTGACCGTGACTGCCGGCGCATTATCCAACACGGTCGAGTCGAAATTAAAACCAAAGAGTCCGGTGCTGTTCAAAAGGCACCTGCTGTGCGCAGCCGCATCAGGAATGAGACAGTAATGTCTTATTCCCTGCGCCCTCGGGTTAGGCCAACACCCTGCAGCCGAGCAGGTCAGACTATTGAGTCATCGGCTCCGGGCAGGGCCTCCAAAGAAAACCCTACATTCTCCCACTGC